AGCATTTGAATAATCAGATTTTTATATTTTCCCAGCATCCTCAGAGGTGAGGAATGGGGAAAGACTACAGGAACCCTACCCCATGTTCAGGCCTCTAATTGTGGTCAATCCCCTGCAGGAGAGCCCAGAAGAGAACGGTGCCTATGAACAGCTGCTGTCGCACTTGGGAGAAATTGCAGAGGAAGGTCAGTTTGTGGCTCCCTCAGGAGCTGCCCATCTGAGGATGGAGATGAGGAAGGAGTTGAGGGTGAACTGGCTCTGAGATTGGTACCGATGGCAAAACTGCTGAGAGACGAATGGGAACAGGGAAACTACTGTCCGCAATTAGAAATCAAAACCAAACAGGAAATACAATTAGACAAAAAAGCCAAGTTGAGGCTGGGCATGGTGGCATGTGCCTTTAGTTCAAGGCCAACCTGGTCTACATAATGAGTTCCAGGCCAGCCAGGGGTATATAGTGAGACCGTCTCAAAAACAAACACAACAATAAGTAAAGTAAGGAGGAAAAATGTTTAACGTTTAAAACATAGGATTGAGTGTGGAAAGCTAAACTGACTTTGAGAACTGTCTACCATTTATGAACATCAAACATTTTATGTTTGTAAATGTTTGAGAGCAGGGTACGGCAGAGCATACTGACAATCCAGTGCTTGGGAGGCTGGCTACACACCCAGTCAGAAGCCAGCCCAGGTTACAGGAGACCATGTCTCCGAAAGGCTAGGGTATGTGTGATGCCCTACGTTCGGCACTGAAAACCCACTTTAGCTGAAAAGTTAGCTCCCTTCTCAGGGACTGAATTATTTTAAATCTCAATTTACTAGACTCTTAGGTTTTTGATAATCTAAAACACACAGAGCTTTGTGTCTTTTTGTTTTGTTGTTTTGTTTTGTTTTTCAAGATAGGGTTTCATTGTGGAGCTCTGGCTGTCCTGGAACTCACTCTGTAGACTAGGCTGGACTTAAACTCACAGAGATCAGCTTGTCTCTGCCTCACAAGTGCTGGGAATAAAGGTGTGTGCCAGCACCGGCCGCATTTGTGTCCATCTTTTATAGTTACAAATATTAAATGTTTTTATAAGTTATTCTACGTGTTGTGTGCTCACTAGATAGAATACAGGATCTCCACCAGTGACCTACGTCCCAGCTCCACTTTCTTCTTTTATTCCAATCTGAGTTGAGTCAGCAGTCCTGAATGATATGGACGTGTACTCAGAAGACTGAAGGCCTCGAAGGAGGGCTCATGAGCTCTTTTCTTGGGACTAGAGAAATGGCTCAGCCTCACAAGGCCTCCTCTAATTGCCCAAAGCCCTTCACCTCCTTTTGGATCAACCACACATAGTGAGAAGCAGCGAACCTGGGCTTGTGCCTGGAGCTTCCAGGACCACAGGATCTAGGTGAGACCTCAACACAGACCCTCTCCACAGGCACACAGATCAAGATCCCAGGTCTGGATGTCTCCGCATTGCTGCCCTCGGACCTCAGCCGCTACTACCGATATGAAGGGTCTCTAACCACACCTCCCTGCAGCCAGGGGGTCATCTGGACTGTGTTCAACCAGACAGTGAAGCTGAGTGCCAAGCAGGTAAGAGTGGGGGTGCGGCATTGACACAGGGGGGGGGCGTTGGAAAATGGGAATGTAGGAGGAGATAAGGGCCAGTCAAGGGGCCGCGTCGTGAACGGAGACAGAGGGCTGGGAACCCCTTGCTCCTTTTTGTCTCGTACTATCTATCAACCCTCCCTCTCCCAGCTCCATACTCTCTCTGTTTCCCTGTGGGGACCTCGTGATTCTCGGCTACAACGGAATTTCCGAGCCACACAACTTTTGAATGGGCGAATGATTGAGGCTTCTTTCCCTGCCGAAGTGGACAGCAGACCTGAGCCAGGTGCACAGTTGTCTGATGGCCCATGTCGCCAGGTCCCCTAGCCGCGGGTCCCTCCTCTTCCTGTCTTCATTAGTGCTACAGCCCTGTCACAGGTACTCATGGGTCCGGCTCTAATGTCTCCTTTTTCTCTTCAGTCCACACGAATTCCTGCCTTGCTGCTGGTGAGTTGGGGAACACCCTTTAATGTCATTCAGTCCAGAAGCTAGTACTTTTCTGCAGAATGAATGGCCCTAAGCCAATGCTAGGTCAGGTAGATAGATCTGTACCACTGGTTTAGTTTATCAGAATGAGGCCCCAGAACTCTCCTGCGATGCCCCTCCCTCCCCCAACACCCCTTTCACCTAGCTGCTGGAGAGAAACCGGTGCTTTTCTTACCCTTCTGCTATCCACCTCCAACCTCAGGCTGGCCTGCTCTGGAGACTGAAGCCCTGGGGGCTCCCTGAACACTCACTCGGGCAAAGGGTTAGGAGTATAGGAAGCCAACTTGGAGGGAACCCCACTTTCTGAGGCAGCCCCTCCTTTCCCCTAGGTGACATCCTAGCCTTGGTGTTTGGCATTCTCTTTGCTGTCACCAGCGTGGCCTTCCTCATCCAGCTGAGGCAGAACAGGTATCTATGGTCCTCCCTTGGCACAGCCTCTTCTGTAGAACCCAGAATTCCAGGACTGCCAATGAACTCATTCAGGGCTGGCTTTCTGATTCTAGTTCCCTGTTCTATAGGAACAGAAGTGAGACCAAAGATGGAGCTAGCTACAGCCCAGCAGAAATGGCAGAGACTGGAGCCTAATAAGGAGAAGCCAGCTAGAGGATTCTGGAAACCTTGTCCTGTCCATTATACAATTCCTTTTAACCACTAAAGAACCTTTCTCATCTTTTTAACTTTTCTTCTTTTCCGTAAAGTACTGTAATGGGATCTTATAGTGAAAAGCCAAGCCTGGACTCAATTCTTGCTTTGTTTGTTTTGTTTTTTGAGAGAGGGTTTCTCTGTAGCCCTGTCTTGGAACTAGCTCTGTAGACCAGGCTGGCCTCAAACAAAGATCTGAATGCCTCTGCCTCCCGAGTGCTGGAATTAAAGGCATGCACCAGCACTGCCTGGCAACTCTTGCTCTTACTATGCAGTCAAATGCCCTACTACTAAGCAACACACCCTCTGATCTTACTGTGGAGGCCAGGCTGGCCTTGAACTGAGTGTGTGGGTAATGGAGTTTGAACCCAGTCTCTTGTTCTGACTAGCCAAGTGTTCTACCACTGACTAAGCTTCTAGCCCCTTCCCTTGAAGGCTCCATCCTCCTGTCTCAGCCCCTTGAATGCTGGGATTACAGGCATGCACCATCATGCCTGGCTCATCCCGATTATTTTTAAAATAAATATTTCTAATAAAACACGTATAAGTTGCCTTTGTCCTTGAATCAAAAGGATGTTCTATTAATTTTTCATGACTGCTGGGGGAAGAAACAACTCCCACAAGGTAACACTTATAGTCCCCGAGACAGGGTTGTCCAAGAACTTTATGCGTTAGCCCAGGTGTGAGTGGGCTATCTTCTTCCTGGCTTTCTCAAGTAGAACACGCCCACTTTCAGATTTTAGAATCTGCCTGCTTTCCTTGATCACGGCCCCTTCCCTTCACTACTCCGACTCCTTGCTTCCATTGTTCCGTCTTCATTACCGCCTTTCACCTATTCCCAGCCCCTCTTTTCCCTTCTAGGCAGTTCCATGGTAGCTTAGACTGGATCAAGACTACAGGACCTGCACCGTCATGCATGGCTTAACCCCCTGAGGACTTTGGGATGATACTGGGCCCGACCCCTAAACCCAAAACAACCTCCTCCATTTCCAGCTCTTTGCTCACACAGTGTCTCTTTCTGGCTAATGTGGCATTTTTCAGGATTAGAATATGGACCTTGTTGGGGCAAGAACACAGAGCAGTTTGAGTCAGATGGTTGGCTTAGTCACACAGAGTGAGCCTTTTGGGCATTTGCCCTGTTGGAATATCTGCCCCTTTTTGAATTTTTGCCTCTAGAATGTCTGGCCCAGTGACTGTTGAAGCAGAGCTGGGCCATGGATGGCGGCTCTACCCTGTGAGGACTAGAGGCCAGGACAGTTTCCTACCTGCTAGGGAACCGCTACACAGGGTTGTTTGCCGAGTCCCGGATCCACACCTCAGAACTCCCATTACAAAGGGGATCCCACTGCAGGGTTGGGAGCCAGGCCCTGCCCATTCAGGGCCCCTCCCAGCACTACTGCCAACCAAAAAAAGGCCTTGGCATGCCAGGAACATCATTTTATTGGCCTGAGGAGGGAACTATATAGTCTGGTAGACAGCAGGGCCAGCCCTTACATGTTGTTGAGTTCCAGAAGGGTCTGGTCCAAGGTCTGGTGAATCTCCACGTTCTCTTCCTTGGCACTAGCCAAAGTCTCTGTGATGGAAGCAACAGGTGAGGTGGGGGAGGGGAAACAGGAAGCAGGAACGTGAGGGAGGGAACCAAGGACAGGGATGGCAATGCGTACAGAAACACGTTAGGAGACACTTTGTGGACCTGGGGCAAATGGGGAGACTGACTGGACACAAAAGGCTGGGGTGGCATCAGTGGCCTGGGGAGGTAAACAGGTGGCCTTCCTTTAGAAGGTTCAGGAAAATCGAAAACAGAAGGGAAGACAAAGGTTCAGTCAGGAAAGGGAGGGCCAGACAGACAGAATTGGGATAGAAAACAGACCTGTGGTTGCTGTGAAAGCCCTTCTCGCTGAGATCCATTACTTTTCCAACTTTTCTGACCTTCGGGCCCCTCCCCAGTGCCTCACTACCCCATCTCCCTTCCAGCCATTCCATCAGATTCTAGAATCCCAGTTAAGTGCTCCAAGGTCAGCGATGGGCTGCAGAGGGGAAGGGAGGCTGTGCTCGATGGACCCACTTATATCACAAGCATGGATTATCAGGAAGTGACAGGCTGGGAGTGCCATGCAGAAGGATCTGTGTGGGCCAGTGTTCTGTGCGGGGGGGGGAGGGGGGGGCTGAGTGTCACAAGACCGAGGGCATTGGTAAAAGCCAAGGTCTCAGGAGTAAACAGTGCTTTGACAGTGATGTTGGAGGACTCACTGGAGGGCAGGAAAACAGCATGGAGACCGAGTTCAGAGTTTATTAAGTAGAGGAGGAGGGAGGTCAGTGGATGGTGGATAGACAACAGGGGGAAGCCAGTGTCAGAGCAGGTGACAGAAGTAACAGGCGTGCTCCCTCAGCTGTCCTCGGCCTGGCTATGCAATGTCGCCAATTTGTGCTCCTCTTGGCTGCCCCCGCCCCCTCAAAGAGAGTGGAAAGAGAGTTGAGAAGAAGGGGGCCTGCAACGGCCACAGTGGTATGGACTCAGAGGGAGGTGATGTCATTGAGCGCGTTGTCCAGCTCCTCGCTGATGGCCTTGTACTTCATCTTCTGTGCATAGACCTCATCTGGGGAGTCCCAAGAGGAGGAGGAGAGGAGGGAGCACGGGGGAGGAGATGGAGGAGGGGAGGAGGAGATGGAAGAGGGGAGGAGGAGAGGAGGGAGCATGGGAGGGGGAGGAGATGAAGGAGGGGAGGGGGAAGGAAACACGGGGAGGAAGGGAAGAGGAAAAGGAGAGGAGGAGGAGGATGGAAGATGGGGAAAGGAGCACGGGGGAGGAGATGAAGGAGGGGAAGAGGAAAGGAGGAAGAGAAGGTTATGAAATGGAAAATAGAATCAGAGAGATGAATGGAAGAGAGAGGCCAGAGGACAGGCCAGATGGCAGTCAGGGCTTCCTCTTCCCCTTTCTCTCCCCTGGCTTCTCTTTGTCCTCTGCACCCCAACTTTTCTCTCCCGCTGCAGCATCTCCCAGGAACCTGTGGGCAGTGCTCTGAGCAGGCAGCCATGCAAGCAAAGGAAGGGTGCTGGCCAGAAAAGTCTAAAGTCGTAAAGTTGGAAATAAAATCCTGCTTGCCTGAGAAGACTGGACACAGGAGACATGGGGATTAATGGAAGTAAAAGGTTATCAGAATAAAAGAGAAAGGCGACCTTTGTTGATAATAGCAATAACCACAGATCAGCAGATACCTGGATTTCTGGTTTTGCTAAGGCTAGCTCAAAGTAGCATCTTCCATTAACAGTGTTGTGTAAATCCTGACATTTGATCCAATAGTGGTTGGGGATATAGCTCAGAGGCAAAGAACTTGCCTAGCATGTATGAAGCCCTAGGTTCAATCCCCAGCACCAAATTAAAAACAACAACAACAACAAATATCTCTGTATTCAGTGAAGAAGTCTTATGGCTGCAGACAGGTCTGTGGTAGAGCTCAGGTCTAAAACATACAAGGCTGTGGGTTCCACCCCCAGCACAAGGGGTGGGGCATCTCTGCAATAAGACCATTGCATTGTCCTTAGCGGTAGCATTTGCTACACTAGTGTTATGCAAGACCGGCAGATCAGCATGAAGGAGCTGGTGGCCCAAGCCTGTAATCCCAGCATTGTGGAGTCAGATTCCAGGGGATTGCCACAGTTTTGAGGCCAGCCTGGTCTACAGAATAAGATCTTGTCCAGGGAAAACAATCATTTGGAGTAGGGTCTATATGTTCCTTGTTTGTGTTTCTTTCTTCTCTCTTTCTCGTCACCTCCCATATGACCTACCACTCCAGCCCTCGGAAATCCAATTTTGAAAACTGTGTGACTATATAGTGATGTGTGTGTGTGCTATGGTGTTTGTGTGGAGGTCAGAGGTCAACTCTGACGTTGGTCCTTAACTTCTATCCTGTTTGAGACCAAGTCTTATCATCACTTCGCATGCCAGGTCAGTTGAGCTTCTAGCCATCCTCCTGTCTCCACCCTCATTTCCTCTCCTATAGGGTAAGAGTGTTGGGACTGCAGACACCGGCTACTATGTCTAGCTTTTACATGCATTCTGGGTTTCAGAATTCATGTTCTCACATTTGTGGGATGTGCTTTACCCACTGAGCCACTCTTCCAAGCCCAGGAACATGTTTTCTTAAGAGGGTGTCAGGTCCCCTGGACCTGGAGATACAGAAGCTTGTAAGCCACCATGTAGGTGCTGGGACTCAAGCCTGGGTCCTCTGGAAGAGCAGCCAGTGCTCTTAACCATTGAGCCAGCTCTATAGCCCCATCAATCTGTTCTTAACTTTTCAGATAATCATTCATTCTAAACCCAGAAAAGCACTGGAGTGGCCTGTCATGATTCCTTGGAGCCTGCAGAGCCCTGGGTAATCCCACTCGTTTAAAAATACGATGAGATGGCCGGGCCGTGGTGGCGCACGCCTTTAATCCCAGCACTCGGGAGGCAGAGGTAGGCGGATCTCTGTGAGTTCGAGACCAGCCTGGTCTACAAGAGCTAGTTCCAGGACAGGCTCCAAAACCACAGAGAAACCCTGTCTCGAAAAACCAAAAAAAAAAAAAAAAATACGATGAGATAAGGGGCAGGCTGAGGGGGGATGGGTGCGGAGGGATATCCTTTTTACCTTCAAGGTCATCGATGGTCTTCTCCAACTTTGCCACAGACCTTTCAGCAAACTCTGCTCGGGTCTCAGCCTGCAATAAAGACGTGATTGGAGACATGGTCAAGAAAGAGGCCTTCCCAGAGAGTCTCCCAGCAGCCACCCCTCTTTCTTGTCTCAAACCCTCAGCGTACCACCAGGGGCAATCTCACCTCCTTCAGCTTCTCCTCCAGAAGTTTGATCTCCTCTTCATACTTGTCCTCTTTGGTGGAATACTTTAAGAGACACACACATGCCGTCAGTGAACTGCTTCCTACACCCCTGAACCCTGGAGCTCCCCATGAACCCCGCGGGCTTCTGCTGACCTTCATTAAGCACCTAGCCCTCCCTACCTAAGCCCTCTTCTCCGCCCCGCATGACCCCAAGACCCAGTCCTCACTGCCCCTCTGCCCCTTCTACCTTGTCCGCTTGGGCTTCCAGGGATTTCAAGTTGTTGGTAACAATTTTCAGCTCTTCCTCTAGGTCCCCACATTTACTGCAGGGGTGTGTGGCAGGATGGAGCGTGAAGGCACAGTGAGGTGAGACAGGGGTGGGGGGTGGAGGGGTGGCACAGTGGGGGAGGGGTGGAGGAGAAAAGAGAAGAGCCAAGTGGTGAGAGTGACAGCAGGCTGAGTTTGGAAGCCCTATCCCTGCCCCCACCCCCAATCCCTACTGCAAGAGAGAGACGGAAGCCTGAGATGCTGAGCCGAGGTGAGAAAAAGGTGCCATTGCCTAGAAAGGCCCAGAGAGGTTACTACCTCCTCCTCAGAGGCTATCAGCGACTTGAGGGCCTGGTCCATGGTTCGAAGCTCCTCCTCCAGCTGCCTGGCTCGGCTGGGGGGCAGCAGGCATAGATCAGAGGACAAGGCCTGTCCCTGTGGCCTCTGGCCCGGGGAACTGCCTGACCACTCTGCACACAGCGCCGAGCCCTTAGCTGTTTACTGTCCCCCTTCCGGCCCCCAGGGCATCCTTACCTCTCGGCCACCTCAGCCCTCTCTTCTGAGCGCTCCAGCTCTCCTTCCAGGATCACCAGCTTCCTGGCCACCTGAGGGAAAGTGGGAGGGAGAAGTAGGTCAGTGGCGACTGACAGGGGGGGGGGGGGGGGGGGGGGGGGGACTTTGGGGACTGCGGGTGAAAGCAAAGCGGGGCAAGGCCGGCACCTCCTCGTATTTGCGGTCCGAGTCCTCGGCGATGTGCTTGGCCTCCTTCAGCTGCATCTCCTGCAGCTCCATCTTTTCCTCATCCTTCATGGCCCGGTTTTCAATGACCTTCATTCCTCTGAGAAGCAGGGGGAGGAGTTCACGTGGGGTCAGTCCCAGCAGAGGCAGGCCCCTCCCTCTGTAGCCCCTGACCTGCCTCCCTCCAGGGCCCCCTTCCCCACCTCTCGCTCTCATCAGCCGCTTTCTCAGCCTCCTCCAGCTTTTGCAGGGCTGTAGCCAGGCGCTCCTGCGCCCGATCCAACTCCTCCTCTACTAGCTGGATGCGGCGGTTCAGGGAGGCCACATCTGCTTCAGCCTGTGGGTCAGAGGGCAGAGGTCAAAAGGCTTTGTGTGCCTTAATGAGCATCAGCTAAGCTCCAAGGACAGCACGGTTCTTCTGAATCTTAGCTTTCTGGTTTTTGTGTGCTCACAGTATCTCCCCCTCCCACCCATTTGAACAATAATAATCTACTTAGGTGAAAACCTGTATCCCCGCCCCTCCCAAGCTCCATTCTCCAGAGGTGCTGCCTCTTCTGGCACTATACATGGTAGTTCCTGTAACCCCCTTGAGAGAGGCCGCTCTCAAAGTTAACACCTAAGTCTGGGGCAGACCCTGGCTCAGGTAAGAGGGAATTGGGAAGAAACAGTACAACTAGACTTTGCCGCTGCTAAAAAAGCAGCCAACCACAGAATCAAGTTCTGTGATATCACCAGTTGCCAGGCAGACTCTCAGCAAGGCAATCCAAAAAGGCAAGCCAGGCCTGTAGGGAGCTGTGGCAGCAGCAAGGGGCTCCCTGCCAAGGTGACAGTGGGGGGCGGGAGGAGGGAATGCAAGTGATGAGACTCAGACTCTGAATATGGAAGCAAAACCTTAGAGGTTTTGGAGAAGGTCCATGAAAACCCAGGCTACCCTGAGAAAGAGAGGCGGGGCGGGGCAAGACGGCCCATAAGGGAAGATGACGACAGCAGTGTGGTTTTTAAGCGCACTGGCTCGGAGTCAGACTGTCTGTCGTCTTTGAGCCACGGCTCAGCTATTCCACACTTGTTATATGACCTTGGGCAGCACATTTGGCCTCTCTAAGCCTCAGTTTCCTCCTTCACAAACTGGAACTAACAATCACAGCTTCTTTGGATGCACTGTTAACCCACTGGACCAGGCGGGAAGCTCATGAAACTAAGCAGGTTTTCGACCCCATGCTAGATTCACTGAACTGAGACCTCCCAGGGGCTTGGGACTCTTGTGCCTTAAAAAAAAAAAGTATTGATTTTATTTTATATGTATCATTGTTTTGCCCATACGTATGCGCACTGCATGTGTGCCTAGTACCCATACGGTTGTGAACCACCAGGAACTGAATCCAGGTCTTCTGAAAGGACAGCAAGAGCTCTTAACCACTGAACCATCTCCCCAGCTCCTCCCCCACTTTAAGCCGCCTATGGGAAAGGGGGACATTCTCTGCAGGTGACATGCTAAACACATTGCCTGCTCAGAGTCCTCCCTTCATGTTAGATAGCCATGTCTCATTCTCCAAGACAAAACCAGAGACCCCTGTTGAGATTTAAGACCAAAAAGAAGGGATGAGACTAGAGAGGGGAAGGAGGGAGTGAAGGGGAAGAGCTGGAGAAGGGGGGAGTGAAGGGGAAAGAGCTGGGGAAGGGGGGGTGAAAGGGAAGAGCTGGGGAAGGAGGGAGTGAGGGGGGAAGAGCTGGGAAGGGGTGAAGGGGAAGAGCTGGGGAAGGGGGGAGTGAGAGGGGAAGAGCTGGGAAGGGGTGAAGGGGAAGAGCTGGGGAAGGGGGGAGTGAGAGGGGAAGAGCTGGGAAGGGGGTGAAGGGGAAGAGCTGGGGAAGGGCTGGGGAAGGGCTGGGGAAGGAGGGAGTGAGGGGGGAAGAGCTGGGGAAGGGGGGTGAAGGGCAAGAGCTGGGAAGGGGGTGAAGGGCAAGAGCATGGCAAGGGGCGAGGCTGGCACAGAGGGAGGCCCTGGGAAACATCACCATATATAGAAAGCGGCTTATGGCTTATCCTCCAGGTGCCTTCAGTACCCGGAGTTTGGCCACCTAGAACAAGAGTCCATCGTGGGCACAGGGCCCAGTGACTCAATGTGGAAACACTGGAAGACAGCACAGGAGAGAATGACTCTGGGGGACTCTGGGGGTTACTCTAGAGAGATGATGGTGGTAGGGTAACAGTGACTGCCTATGGGCCTGTATAATACGGCCCTGACAAACTTCAGAAGTCCTGGCATCATCCAAGACTGAGATCTGTCATGTCTGTTCTCCTAAGCTGTGGATGCTGGCTCTTCTCCCACTACAGAATAGTCACCACAATAGTCCCCACTGGCTGAATGGCAAACAGAGAAGAGAAACTGAGGCACTGTGTAAGTTAACCGCTGTGTTCAAAGTAACACTATAAAATTGGGCTGCATTTCCTATTTATGCTGGCAGAGCTGCCTGCTTCCCCAACTGTCCCTGTCCCCCCTGGCCCCCACCAAGCTCCTTGGGTTTCTGCACTGAGCCTTGGTTATTTATAGAGTACCAGATGCCCAGGGTCAACTTTGTTAGCAGCTGTTGGTCAATTCCCTCCCAAGTGCCAGCGCTGGTGGAGAACCCAACCTGGAGACTAGAGGTCAAAGAAACCCAGCTATGGGGGAGGGGGGTAGAGAAAGAGCAACCCCAGTGCCATCTCGGGTGTTCACACCATGCTTGTGTTTCTCACCCCTCAGGCCTACTTACAAACTCATCTTAAATCCCAAACCAGAAACTGAGGCAGGGAATGGTGGAAGTGCCTCACCTACAGTCCTGTGATCACCCTGCCTGAGGACGTGAGTGGGGAGCAGCAGGAAGCAGAGAAGTCTGGCTGGGGATGGGCAGGCAAACCTCAGGGTAAGTGGAGCCTGCCAAAGTGGCTGCCTTGGCAGTTGTGGCCCTATCCCTCGGCGGCCTGGCCTGGGCCTGAGGTTGACAGCTTAATGAGGGTAAATGAGGAGCCATTGGAACCTGAGCTGAGGCTCCAGGGCAGCAGCCCTGCTGGGGCGAGGTCACAGGTGGGGAATTCCTAACTGCAGCCCCTTAGCACTGGAACTCTCTCCCTCTCCTGCCCACTAGCTCCCCACATTCAACCCCAACCCTCACACACCCCAAATGTGGCTGCCGTCTCCTCCTCTTCATGCTCAGAGGGAGGATGAATAAGGGCGGGGGGGATGGTAAATTCTCACCTCCCACCCTCAGTGACTCACCCAGTCGATCACTGTACAGTCTAAGGGCTGGAACCCAAGGGAATTACAAGGCTGAGTCCTGAGGGGATGTAGTAGGTGGTTTTGATTTACCCAGTGTCTTGAGTTACTTGTGTAAACCTGCTCCTAGCTGGCGTTACAGAGAGGAAACCATGTCTGTTCTGGTGCTAAAGACCTACGTCCCTTTCTTCCTTCACGCTCATGGCTGGGGCTCCTAGCCAGTGTCCTAGTGTTGTTAGACATCCCCAAAGCCACACTCACGTCGGTGGCCTTCTTCTCGGCCTGCTCCAGTTTCTCCTGAGCATCCTTCACAGACTCAGAATACTTTTCCACCTCATCCTCTGTCCCCTTCAGCTTCTTCTGGAGGGCCTGCTGCTCTTCCTCCAGCTGTAGAAGAGGGAGACTTGATCAGCCAGGCCTGAGTCAGGCCCTGAGGGGCAAGGAAGGCAGTGGTCTGAGAAGGATGTGTGTGTGTGTGTGTGTGTGTGTGTGTGTGTGTGTGTGTGTAAGGGAGGGTGTTTCTAGGAGATACTTGGAGATTGTTGGGTGAGGAGAGACAGTAAGTACAGTTAGCAGAGTTAGGAGGCCCTGGGAGGAGAGGCAAGGACCCCCTGCTGCTTTGTAAAGACAGGAGTGGGAACTGGGGACTCCTGGGAGTGGGGTAAAAGATTTAGTTAGGGCTGAGCTCTGGAAGGTCCTGTGAAGACCCAGCCCCCATATTGAAAGGAAGGTCTTGGAGAGCAGACAAGGGGAGGTTACACGGGACCCCACCTGCTTGCATCGGTCCTCAGCTTGCTTTTTGTCAGCTTCGGCCTGTTCCGCGCGGTCGATGGCATTCTCCTTGTCCAGTTTCAGCATCTGCATCTTCTTCTTGATGGCGTCCATGGCTGCAGTTGCGGGTGGGCCGACAAGCGGGCTGTGAAGACTGGGTAGACTGGGCTGTCTGCAAGCACTGGATGCACGTTGGGGGACAGGTCAGGAGGACCGAGAGGGACTGGGATGTCCCAGCAGCGCGGACGCCTAAAAGGCGGGGAGGGACCGGGCGGAGCCGGGGACCAGGACCCTCCCCCACCAAGGCCCAAACCTTGTAGGGGCAGAAGCACTGCCCGGTCGCGGGGCGCGGCCGCTCTTTGCGCCCACCCCTCCGGTCCTCCCCCTTGGCTCCTGGCCCCGCCTCCCCTCTTCCCGGGCCAGCCGTCGGAAGGAAACTTGAGGGCTGTAAAATCTTGGTCAGCAGAGGGGACAGGACCCTTGGGCCGGGGGCTCAGCGCTGAGTGACAGCCGGGCCCAGTGGCAGCTGTGGCTGGGGCCACCGGGGCTATTTCAGGGCGTGAGCTCACGGCAGCTGCCCGGGCGCAGGGACCGCGTGCCCTCCCTCAGGCTAGCAGCAGCCGCTGCCCTTAATTTAGAAGTTTCCTGTAAATCCCCCCAGATTAAATGTCTCTTGGGAGGCGGATCTCCTGCACGCCTCGAGTGCCTCAGTTTACCCCGGGTCCCACACTCCAGGTTTGCGCTAACGACGTGGAGGTGGTGGCGAAGTCTCTTCGAATAATTGGGGAAACTGAGGCAGGAGGCCTGCTGTCCCCAAGGGCGGGCCTGGCATCTGTTAACCTAGTGTCCCCTCCCAGTCTCAGTGCCCAGAGCCAGGTTCTCAGCTCCCTCCCGCCCCGCCCCCCACGTGCCCCGCATATTTTCCACGAGGCTGCAGCCCGGCTGGCCAGGGCGCTCTCCCCACCCCCACTCGGGACCCGGAGCTCCCGCCCCCTCGGGTTCTGTCTGCTCCCCTCTTTCGCCTCTCTCTTTTTCCCAGGCGCCCGCCCTCCTCCCCACTTCTCCCAGCGGACTCCGCGGTCTTCCCCAATGGGCCAACTTGACTCCGAATTTTCTTTTCTGCCCTTTTTTGGAATGTTTCCCTGTAGAGGGGCGGAGCCGGGCCACAGAGAGCCGAGGGGAAACGCCAGGCGTTGGGAGAGGGCAGTGAGATGTCCCCCTCCTCCGAGGCTTCTACAAACCTCGGCAGAGCTGGGGCGACCTTGGAGGGGATCTCATTCCACTCTAGAGTGGGCGAGCGCAGCGGCGCCCGGGAGGAGGGCGCCCAGGGAGGGAGTGGGCAGCGCCTCGCCTGGACCAGCGGGTGCAGAGGGGTCAGAGGCCTGGGATTTGTTGGCGACATGAGGACAACCGTGGGAATCTTGGACAAAGAGGGCTGGCGGGTGTGAAAGGGGTACGGGTGGATCCTCCTCTGCTTCGCCGTCTGCTAACCAGACTCTAACTAGAGCATACAGGTCTGACCTTGGCGTCGACTCCAGCCCACTGCTGTGTGTTCCCTAAATTTTATGAAGGACAAAGATTCCTCCTCCATCCAATAAGCCTATACTAGACCCCTAGGGTTTTGCTTTCTCCCTCTCCTTGTCTTTCACTTTTCATATGCACAGAAGCCTGGAGAGTCTTCTTGACACGAAGTCGACCGCTCCTGGAAGTCCAAATGGACTCTGAGCTTGCTTTCTTGACCAGTTCCTGGTTCTCTAGTTTCTTCCTTTAATTCCCACTGGCTTTTGCTGCCTTTTTTTTTTTTAAATTAGTGGAACAGAAAACTACTCCAGTGTCTCCTCCCTATTCCTTTTGTGCCTTCAACATTTAAAAGAAAAGGGCCACTCACATTTCTTAATATGGTCTAACTACCCTTTGTTTGGGTCCCTGTGTTATGCCCAAATCCGCCGGGTCCCCACAAAAGGCAACAAAGTAGACCGAGTCCCATATGTAAAAGCAAAGAACCTTTATTTTAATCAAGTTTGCAAACTTGGTCTATCCGCATGTCCATTGTATTGGAATAACCAGAGAGCCCCGAGCTCAATTAGAATAGGGTTTTATAGTAGTAAAGGTGGGAGTGAGGGGTTTCTGAGGTTTTAAGACCCCTGATTGGCTGACATTGGGCTAGGGTTTCCTGGTGACTGTGCGCTGGCAGGTGTTTCTATCTACAGTGCTTGGAATGCCAGGAAGTTCCTTCGAATGGTCTGTTCTTGGAGTGGCGGGGAGTCTGGCAACCTCAGCTTGTGGTTTCTCCTGCAGCCCAGCGTCATCTCAGGGTAAACAACTGAGACGATGGCCAGAATCCCAGGTGATAAGGTTGGAGGAAGTAAAGAACTCCCTTTCTGCCCAGACTTAGACTTTCATTGCTGACCCTCACACCTGCCTACCTCGCTAACCTCATCTTCAGTTCCCAGCCCCACCCCAGTACTTGGACTGGTGCTTCATCTTACATGCATATGGAGCTATGGACCGGGCTGGAAAGAGCCATACCTTCTTAACAGTGTCCACATTGTATGCATTCTGTTCCCTCTCCCTAAAACACCCTTCTCTAAATTGATTGCTAGTGGCCTTTAAGGCTCAGATCAAGTGTCAGCTCTTCTGGGAAGTCCTTCCCTGGCCACCTCCCCTTCTGGCCCCTTTCATCTATTAGGTGTTTGTTTTCCAGTGTAAGCTTGATTCTCAGCCTGGTTTCCACGCTACAAATCTTGTACCTGTTTGAACTCTTGTGAGTCCTCCAGAGCATGGACTATTGTTCTCAGTTCTGAGTCCCGCAGCGCCTTGAACAGTACCAGGCTTAGACTAAGCAGTACTTTATAAACATTTGACAGTGTGGTTTTTACGTAGACACTTCTAGGCACTCAAACACAGGCTAATATGGTGTGAATTTAGAGAAACGAATGGCCTGGTGCAGAACTCCTCAAATGGTTTTTCCGTTAGAACCCCTTTTGCACTTAAAAATTATGGAAGATCCCCCAATAGTTTTTGTTGAAGGTATTCTCAGACTCAACACTTGCTGTATAAGGATGCAAGCCCAGAAAATGTAAAAAAAAAAATTTAATTACAAATTCATTAAAAATCACGAAAGTTAAGGCTGGAGGTGTAGCTCAGCTGGCAGTGTTCGCCTGGCGTGCACGAAGCCTAGATTCAATCCCTGACGCAGCATGAGCCAGTCAGGTTGGCTCACCCCACTAACCCCGCTCTCAGGGGATGTGGGAGGACATCCTCTGCTACATACCCAGTTCAAGGCCAACCTGGACTACAGTTAGACCTTGTCTCAAAAACACACAGGCACGCACACGCGCACACACACCCCGTCATATACCATCATGCTAATATAAACAATATTTAGAATAAAAAAGTATATCCCCTCCCTCAGACTAGTGAAGCAAGGCAATTATTATACTTGTTAATTTTTTTCTGGGAGGGGTTGACAGGGTCTCATGTAGTCCAGGGCTGGCTGGTCTCGAATTGCTGAGGATGACCTTGAACTTTTTTTTTTTTTTTTTTGAGACCGAGTCTCTCAATGCAACCTGACTAATCTTGACTTGCTGTGCAAACTGGGCTGGGCTGGAACTCTCACCCTTCCTCTGCCTGGGATCAAAGCTGTGTGCCACCATGTCCACCTTGAATTTCTTATCCTTCTTTTGGGTAATTGTTTACTTACACAATTTTGTTATGTCATTCATTGGTCATTTAGGAAATATTGATTCACTGAGCCACACAGAGGTCCCAAATGTTGACACATCTCAATAAATGCACTATATCAAAATATCACATTCTTTAATATCTTGATTTATCTCATCAGAGAGCCTACAACTATGTTTTAAATTTGGAGAAGCTGTGAGGTCACTGTGTCAGAAAAAAGTTATTCAAAATTAGAATTTTCACTAAAATTTTAACTGTATAATTGGTATCAAATTATACAAATACTGTCAGATTTTTCTCTGAAGTGACAGCCATCGTTTCTTTTTTTTTTTTTTTTTTTTTGAGACAGGGTTTCTCTGTGGTTTTTGGAGCCTGTCCTGGAACTAGCTCTTGTAGACCAGGCTGGTCTCGAACTCACAGAGATCCGCCTGCCTCTTCCTCCCGAGTCCTGGGATTAAAGGCGTGCGCCACCACCGCCCGGCCCATCTTTTCTTTTTGAGAACAGACCTGCCATATATCCAAGTTTAAGAACGAGAGTTTATCTGTCACTTTTCAAGTAAACATGGTATTGCACACACACTCGCACGCAATCACGCCAAATGATTCACACTTAACAGCAGCCTGCTTTCCTCAGGGGAGCCGTCACACTGCTGTATGCAGAAGAGTTTCGTGTGTGCTTCACGTTCATGAGAAGGATTCCTGAAAGGCACAGCCAGCAGGGTCATAATACTAGCACTTGGGAAGTACAGACAGAAAGATGAGCATTCAAGGCCAGTTTTGGACACAGTGAATTTGGGACCAGCCTGGTCTACATGAGACCCCGTCTCAAACAATGATAAACAACAATAACACAAACAGAGAAGAGAGAAAAGTTTTTGCTTAAGAATTAAGATTCAGGGGCTTCCAGATGGCTCAACAGTTAAGAGCACTTGCTGCTCTTGCAAAGGACCCAGGTTTGGATTCCATGGCAGCTCACAATAGCCTGTAACTTCAGTTCCAGAGGATATAGTGCCCTCTTCAAGCTTATGCAGGTACTTCACACATGTAGTACACATACATACATTCAGGTGCACCACGCACGGGTGAACACACACACACACACATAAAATAAAAAATAAATCTTCAGCAACTGTGAGTTCAACGCCAGCCTGGTCTACATAGCAAGTTGCAGGTCAGCCAGAGCTACATAGTGAGACCCTTCTTTAAAAACAAAACAAAATGCCGGGTAATGGCTGCTCAAGTCTTTAATCCTACACTTGGGAGGCAGAGGCAGGTGGATTTCTGTGAGTTTGAGGCCAGCCTGGTCTACAGAGCGAGTTCCAGGACAGACTCTATAGCTACAAAGAGAAACCCTGTCTCAAAAAAAAAACAAAAACAAAAACAAAAAAACCCACCACCACCACCACCACCAAAAAACCCATACAGCTCAGGGCTGACGATATTGCTCTTAGTAGAGTTGTTTCTCTAGCATGCACGAGGCCTTGAGTTCAATCTCCAGAATCGCGTAAACTGGACGTGGTGGTGCTACACATTTGTAATCCCAGCACTTGAGAG